TTAAGCCTCAAGAATACACTGTAAGAAAAGCACATCATCACTCTAGTTTTATACATGAGGAAACCAATATTCGGACGTGTAAGCGGCTCATTTCTCATTTGAATGGATTGGTCAACAAAATAAAAAGAAATTAGACAGATAAATTGAGAGGAATTCTAGCTAACAGTTACAGGACTTGTCATTACGCAAATCTGAAGTTAAAGCCTAGGTCTGCAATTTGATGGCTCTGTGAGCTTGGGCAAGTCATTTGGTTTCTCTGAGGTCCGGTTGATAGTATCGCCGCCCACTCCAATCCTGTTCCACTGAACGTGATGAAGAAATATTTTCCAAATATGGGTAGGAGGATGTCAAGAGTGACTGGGGTGGGTGGGTAGAGTCATTAGAGCACATGGTGTGCAGGTCAATTGTTAAAGAATAAATTCAGAAACCCTGTCTTGAAAAACCAAAAAAAAAAAAAAAAAGAATAAATTCAATAGTTATAAAAATGCAAATAAAATGTGGAGGGGACTTACTAGGAAGAAAGGTTTTAGCAGAAAAGGGAGGATACAGGGTAATGGGTGGAAATGCCTGAAAACTCACTAGGTACATATCAGAAAATCATAAACAATTGTATGATTAAAAACACGTTACATTTTTACTAATATTATTATGAGATAATTTTCCTATGCTCATGAATACAAATGACTTAGTTTATAACTCCCTCTATGGTCACCTCATTATTTTAAAGTTATGATTCTTTTGAAAGATGCTCAAAGGTTTGAGTACAAAGGAAGGCTGTTCCCTTTCCAGGTTAGGGAAAGTAGTGACCAATGGCTCTGCTCTATTGCGTCATTTTAATCTCTCATTTCATGATCCATGTTGTTACTGTATAGCACAACTGAGCTCTAGCGATGTTTGTTAAAACAGCAACAAGAGAGCAGCATTCAAAGCTGGGAATGGGCTGTGGAGAGAGCTTGGAGGAAAAGAATGGTGCCTAAGAAGCCTGAGGACCCTTCAGGTATCCCAGGTTCACAGTGAGGAAGTTAGTTTTGCTCAGACCTGATCACTACATCAGACTTTGGCCTGAAACAACTTCCCAAGGGGGAAATGTTTGCCCTTTGATCAGCTAGACAGAAATATTCCACTGTAGCCATGCTTTTTATTTTCTTCTTCGACTCAGTGAGCCCAGACTCCCTCTCTTCTCTCACGGTTTTCCCAACCATTTCCCCCGAGTCACACTTACGCTGCAGCAGAGAGTTGTTCCAGATATTTGACTACTTGGTGGCTGCTTCTAAGTGGAGCTTTTAAAAAAATTTTTTCTTTTTATTTACCTTTTGTGTCTTTCACATCATGCATCTCGATCCTATTCATTCCCCTTCCCTTCATATCTGCCCTCTGCCCTTACAACACCCGCCTTTAATAAAATAAAATTTAAGAGAAAAAAAAGGAAAAAAGAACAAAAAAACCCTCATCATGAAAGCTGTAAAATGATATAGTGAGTCATGCAGTAAACTCATATGTCCATATATCTTTACTGCAAGTGTTCATTGCAAAGAGGCATTGTTTTGGTTTGAGGCCTCTGGTTTCTAGTACACTATCGATCTGGGCCCTCACTGGGACTCCTGTTGGATACTCTTTTTTTTTTTTTTGTTATTGTTTTTTGAGACAAAATTTCTCTGTGTAGCTTTGCGCCTTTCCTGAATCTTGCTCTGTAGACCAGGCTGGCCTTGAACTCACAAAGATCCTCCTCCTGGGATTAAAGGCGTGCGCCACCGCTGACAGGCTCCTCTTGGATACTCTGCTGTTGCCGTGTGTTGCAGAGATCCTGTAGCTTTGGGTCTGCAGGACCAACTAAATGGGGCCTTTTGTTTCTGTGCTATTTTCTAAGTGTCCCGAGTAACGTCTGGAGTCATCGTAGGGATTACAGTGATATGACTTCCTAGAGCTTTGTGTGAGATCTGAATGCCATGGGAGTTTGGGTCCTAGAGGTTTTTGAAGGTGGGTACATCTCCCACACTCCATAGACCTGGGGCAGCTGCTGTGGAAGCGGCCAGCTCAAGCCTGCTGCTTTCTCAGAAGGCCATTCACTTCTGAATATTGAATTGAATCCTCATTATTATATCTTTCTTCTTCATACTTGGATGCGCAAGTTTTATGATTTTCATTTATATTATTCAGCCATGTCAGATAAGGAGGTGCCCTTAGAAATGAATCTTCTGGCTCACATCCCTCATTTTGAAAAGCTTCAACCCAGAAAGGGGGCAGGTGTTGTCTGAGCTCAGAGGTAGCTTGTGGGTACCAGGCCTAGGACAAAAGTCTGTGCCTTTTATGCATCGGGGTAAGAAGTGTTTCTTCTATCTCCTTTAAAAAGCTCTTTAGTGAAGCCATAAACAAGAAAGGCAGCCTATGCTTAAGTAGCCTATTGACAGCCACAGAACAGAACACTCAGTTGGTCATCATCGAAGCCAATTAATGACAATCCTGTCGATACCTTTATCTTCACTTTGCAGGTGAGGAAAACCGAGGTTTCTTTCAGTTGCCTGATCTGATGTATTAGTGTTCTATGGCTTAAATAACATACTTACTAATAAATAATTTTGTAGCTCAGAAGTTCAGAATGCAACCGAGTAGGCTCAAATCACAGTGTAGACCAACTGTGTTCCATTTCCAGAGATTGCGGACATCTTGACTCCTGTCTTACCAGACCTATACAAGGGATAGCCTCTTTTCTGTTTTTCCATTTTTCCTAGCTTCCAGAGGTTGTCAAATTCCTTGGCTTGTGACAGCTTCTTCTTCCACTACATCTCTCAGATCCATCACCCTCTTGATCTAAGCACACCTGGAAAAGGCTCACTCCTTTCAGGGACTTCTGTAATTTGATTAGGCCTACCAGATAGCCCATGATCACCTCTCCAGCCTCAAGCTTGGCAATCTTAACCTCTGCTGTGCATTCTGTTTTGCCATTTAGGATAACGTATACCACACTTGGGCATCGATGTACTTGAGACTGTCACTCTGCAAGGTACCACATTTCACCCTCTGTCCCCCAAAGATCTGTGTCTGTCTCTCATACAAAACCCATTCTTCTTTTTTTTTAATTTTTATTTTTTAAATTACACTCATGATATTCATTAATTACACCCATGATATTAATCACATTTGTGGTATTCATAGATTACATTCGCAGTATTCATTCAAATATATATATTGAAATGCCGAATGTCATTTAGTGAAGGAGGGAGGAGGTCTTAAATACAGGCCTACAGCACAATGGGAGAACCCTGGAGGGCAGAAGTTCGCTACTGTTGGTTTACAATCTTGCATCTAAGCTGTTAACACCCATTATTCAGGATATACAGACAAGAAACTTCCCTTAAGCATTCAGGAGGGTGGAACTTGGCAGGGAATTAGCACAGGGAGAATATCAAGGTCAAGGCCTGCAAGGTAGGCAACAGTTACCCAAAACAGGGGCCACAAAAGTAGCTACCACAGTTAGTTAATCTTCCATTCTATTGGGCATGATAAATTTAATTCAGTAGTTTTATACATCTTGATTGACTTTGAAAATTATAAATTTATAAACTCAAGTTCCAGTTGCTTTTGGGATACTATCTTACAAGAACTCCAACATATAGTAGGGCTCGTTAAGGAAGAGAAGGGCTCAGTTGCCTTTAGCCCACTGGCTATGGGTGAGATAGGACCTCTCTTGGTCTTCTCTGTGTCGAATACACAGATTGCAAGCCCAGTGCCACTTTGAGATCTTTGGCAGCAGTTAACTCTGCAGCTCTCACACAATTGAGCTGTATGATAATGAGTATTCAGAGACTGGTAATGCCTGGGGGGCACTCACCAACCTAAGACAGAGTACCTGTGTGTCCTGGGCAGGCGTCTCCCTGACGGGTAAGGTGACCTGCTGATGTCCCAAGCAACCCAAGTCAGAAGCTCATTTTTTTTAATAAAAGGGGGACCTGTAGGTCCCTGGCCCCTGTTTTGGAAAACCCATTCTTTTTACCTTAAACTTTCTAAGTCACAACCCACAACATGAAATAGACTTAGTAGGTCAATGCAGTCTGGGTCTGTTGACCCCTGGTTGAGTGCACAGGCTGCTTATTTTCTTACAGACTGGCCTGAATTCATCAAATCATAAACTGAAGCTGTGAAAGCAGGGGACATGCCTATCACACAGTGCCATTAAAATGTTCATTAAGCAAATGAAAGTTGAAAAAAACAAGGTGCTAGTGGAAGCACTGAAGTAGAAGTCATTTCAAAATGACATTTGTTTTTTTTTTTTCTGTTCCCCAAAGCTTGAATTCGTAAGGTTTTATGCTACAAATTTCATCAGAGCCCAGAATGCCTTACAAGGTGAACTGACCAAACTTCTCCCATTACATTTAGGTTTCAATTTCTCCTAGATGCCTTTTCAGACATTTCAGATCGGCTGGCAGCCCATGAATTTTCTTTTGAGTTTAAACAGAATTATTAAAACTTACAGGTTGCCAAGTATATTTGCTATATACCTACATCCTGTGTATTAACCTACGGATGACTTTTGTGTGTGAAATACTTCCCTACAGTTTCCCTAACTTCCTTTTCATGATGACTAAATATAAAAACCATTCGATTTTTTTATACAGTTAGAAACTTCAGTGTAAATAACTTGGTTGTAAAGATGCTTGTCTACTAGTTAAATAGTCCTATCACCATAAAGTAGTTGGATAGACACATTTTCCAACCACATTAACTTATACAACAAGCTATTTTGGTCCCCAAATTGACTAGATTTTTCTTGACAAAAAAATTCTCTCATGGGGACCTGTCTGTACATGACTGCCATAATCTAAGGGCATTAGTCATATAACCCCTATCATTTAGGACAAGGTATGTTCAAGTTAACCCTAGACACTCAAGAAAATCTTTACCCCCATTAGGTTGAGATTGTACATTTTTTTTTTAGCATTGAAGTTTTTATTCATGTGAATCGTTAAAAATGGGCATCTATACCAGTGTCAAATGAGGGTAGGCAGGGTAGACAAGGAAAAGGAATTCCCGTCTATTGGTAATAAAGCTCCAGGTTCATCCCATCATGGATTTCATAATCTCCCAGAGACACGTGGTCCTTAAAAATCGTGTACCACTTTTTAAGAATGATCTTATTCCAGTGGGTGCCAGTTTGGGCTGCTATCAGTTTCTTCAAGTCCCAGATGGTGTCATCGGTGTTGCACTTGACGCGGACTTTCTTTCCTAGACGGTCGTTGCAAAGCACCTCAATCATTGTGGCTGAAGCTCTAATCCCCTCGAACTTATCGACGACACAACTTCTAAGATTGTGCATTCTTTAATAAAAAAAAAAAAGACATTTAAACATCTTATCGTCAAATTCAAAGCAATCCTCAGGCCTGGAGCAACGACTCAGTGGGTTAAAATCACATACAGCTTTTGTGGAAGAACCTGGTTCTGTTTCCAGCACCCACATTGGGTGGCTCACAACTGCCTGTCACTCTAGTTGCAGAAGATCCAGTGTCCTCTTCTGACCTCTGAAGGCAATTGCATGCCTATGGTGAACATAAGCCCACACAGGTACATACAGGAATATATAAAAAATAATCTAAAATAAAGCAATTCTAACATAACCCAATTATAATTATCTGTATTTCTTTCCTTAATTGTGTCAGAGCCAATGCCCAATTTCTTTCTGGATATTAGAATTATTTTTTGCTTGGATTTTAAGGATTTTTATTTATATGACATAACTATCAATTCCAAAATCCAAAGTCATTTCACTGGTGTTGAATGCAATCTAAAAAAGACAGTAGCTGGTAGGTAGAGAAGTGAGGAGTGTATCTGCCACTGGGGTTGCTGGCTAGAGTATCACGGCTTCCTTCAACTGAATACCCCTCACTCCCACAGAACACCTTAGGATGCCTCACGAGAGGCAGAGGTTGAAAGAGCCATGTGGTTCAGCTGATTCACAAGGCATAGATTTCGGAACTGAGGAGAGGTAAGGAAATCGAGACCAAACATAGGGACGGCTTGCTCTTAAATGCCAACTCCAGCTAGGAAAGAGGTCTGGGCTTCACTGCAGAGACAAACCATCTTGTTTAAAGGCTGACACTTCTGTTACAAACAGGAATTCCATTAGCACAAAGAAGACAGACAGACCATTATGAGTCCCTTGAACAGTTCTGAGCAGTAAATAGGGGAAATGATGGTTAATTTAAACTCCTTTTAAAATGAGGAAGTCCTACCCCACTGCAAATTATGTTGATTATTGTGTCTGAAGAACTCTGAATGCTAGGATTTTGTCAGGGGAATTATTCAGGTTGAATTATTTATTGGCAAGAGGCAGTTACTGTTTCTAATGCTTGAATGACAATTTTAACATATTGACATAAAATAGGTCAAGAGAGAGAAATACGTGGAAAGGACGGGGAAGTCTGTTTAATGCAATAGAAAAAATTAGGTATTTGAATCACCCACCAATTTTCTGCTCTAATAGTACCTAATTAAGAGTTGTCTGTGGAAATGTTTGCCCAGCTATGCTTTTAAAGCCACGGAGGTTGCCTCAAAGCAAGGGGAAGCCCCACACACTCCTTGTCTATCTTACCATTAACTGAGTAAAGTTGATGGGTGTCCTGCTCAGCTTGGACTCTCATAATAAAAATTACATGTTTCTGGTGGATTTAGCAATAAACATGTATTTTCACTATTCCATAAGCTGTGAAATTTAAAATTATGGTGCTGAAGCTTCTATTCCTTGTTGACTTTCTCTCTCTCTCTCTCTCTCTCTCTCTCTCTCTCTCTCTCTCTCTCT